TTTGAGACGGAGTCTCCCTCTGTTGCCCAGGCTGGAATACAGTGGTGCGATCTTGGCTCACTGCAATCTCCACCTCCTGGTTCAAGCAATTCTCCTGCTTCAGCCTCCTGAGTAGCTGGGATTACAGGTACCCACCACCACGCCTGGCTAATTTTTGTATTTTTAGTAGAGGTGGGGTTTCACCATGTTGGTCAAGCTGGTCTCAAACTCCTGACCTCTTGATCCACCCGTATCAGCCTCTCAGAGTACTGTGATTACAGTCTGAGCCACTGTGCCCAGCCAAAGAAAATAATTTTTGTATTTTTAGTAGGTAATTTTGTATTTTTAGTAGAGACGGGGTTTCACCATGTTGACCAGGCTGGTCTCAAACTCCTGACCTCAGGTGATCTAACCACCTCGGCTTCCCAAAGCCGGCTGGGATTACAGGCATGAGCCACTGCGCCCAGCCATCACTTTGTTTTTAAAGCAAAATAATGCCTAAGGGCTGCCAAGTGACTCAAAGCAGAATCCTCTTTCCTGTAGTAAGATGAGTGGAAAGGAGAGCTCCCTGAAATGGCTAGAGTTTAGATGTTGCTCCTTTCCCCTAATAAGCTCCATAGCTATCCACTGGCATGGGTGGGAAGTAGCAGAATTCCGGTGCTGGATGGAAGGGTTCTCTACAGTTGGAAGGGGCAGGAATGGCAGTGCTTTCTGAGTCTCTACAACCAGGCAGGTTTGGCTTCAAACAACTGCCAAGCCCAAGCAAGGGGAACAAAGCCACCCTTCTGTGTAAGCTCCGTTGGCTGTGTAAGCTCCTGCCGCGCCGTCTGCCCTAATAGAAGCAAGCGGCCAGGACCCTGAATTTTATGGGGCCTTGACTAATGTGCCTCCTAGTCTGTGTCCTCACCCTCCTTGTGGACTTAGGTTTCAGGTGTCTCAGAGGCAGACCCACAGGCTCTGCTCCAGGCCATGAAGGTAAGGAAACAGCTTGCTGGATTCTTAGAACTGGGCGTGGGTGGGGTGGGGTCATGATATTTTGTACCAAGGCTTCATTCTCCCTCTGATTTCTCCCTTTACAACCTGTGTTTCTGAGCCCTTCCTCATGCAAGCATGGAACTCGTCTGTGAGCCGTTGGCCTTCTCGCCTTTCTGGGTATCAACCAGTGTTGCTGGTATATAGAGAATGGAGGGTGCCACAGACCTCTGGGGAAATGGGGCCAGCCCTACTTGGAGGCCCACCTAGCTGGGTCCCCTCACTTCCACCTAGAGGACAGCAGGAAACTGCCTCCTCTAATGCTTGTTCTTAATTTTTCTCCATATTTCTCTCCACATCCCCTGCCAAGCCCCCTTCAATACTGCTGTCTTCTCATCAGATCAAGCCCAGCGCCAATCTTTGCAATGGATTTTTAAGGCACAGATTCTGAATAATTTGTAAGGACGTAATCTCTAGCTTGGCCAAGGACACTTTGTTCTCCCTCTCCTTCCAGCCAGCAGCACCCTCCTGTCTGACCCTTGGGGTTTTGTGTCCCTTTTAGTTAACCCATTTTGCCATAGTCCCCAGGACAAGGCCACGCTTTTGGTTACAGCCCTCTGGGGCTCTTGTTTTTATTGTGTTTTTTTGTTTTTTTGGTATTTTTTTTTTAGAGACACTGTCTCATTCTATCACCCAGACTGGAGTGCAGTGGTGTGATCTCATTGCAACCTTACACTCCTGGCCTTAAGCGATTCTCTTACCTGGGCCTCCCAAAAAAGTGTAATTACAGGCATGAGGCACCACACCCGGCCCAGATTCAGCTTCTTTAACCTCATCTTGAAATCTTTCCCCTCAAAGGCCAGGCACAGTCAGTCACACCTATAATCCCAGAACTTTGGGAGGTCGAAGCAGTAGGCTCGCTTGAGCCTAGGAGTTGGAGACTGCAATGAGCTATGATCACACCACTGCACTTCAGCCTGGGTGACAGTGAGACTCTGTCTTCAAAAA